GCTTATGTAGGAAGTGATCCTGACTTTACACAACGCTTATGTAGGAAGTGATCCTGACTTTACACAACGCTTATGTAGGAAGTGATCCTGACTTTAACAGTGCTTCCTTAAAATTCGACAAAAAAACAGAGAATGACATTAGGGAGGGTAACTGGAAACAAACATCATTTCTTGTTTGGCTCAAAATTTAAAATATGATTGATCTTACAGTTAATGTTGTAAAATACTGAAGCAGGAAACCTAATGTATAGTTTAACAACTCTGTCCATTGATTCAGTAATTAAGCACCATACAATTATAGACTGCATAATTATGCAATCATTCAGCCATCAGTTTACTACTTCCAGTAAACTGACCATCGGATATGCTTTTGAAACCAGATGCCTGTCACTTAAGTTACATTTAATACAAAGACATATTAAACACACTGCAATGAAACTTCATGCTGATCAATAAAATAATTCAATATTTCGTTTAATTACCTAAATGGAATGTTATGATTTATATGAATAACCCGTCATAGTTCCAACTTGTTAGTTGTCCTCTGTATTCAGTGTCATCCTTGAGACACAACAACAGAAGTTTTTTCAAGACATGCAAACCATGAGATGGAAACTTGCTTCACTGCGAGACAGGTGGTTAGCTGAAGTGTATTCAAAATGAGGTGTTATTTTATTATATTTACATTCTGTATGCTTAGACCCATTGACAAAAATTACATTCATAAATGCATAACACAAGTGTTCATAGAATCTCAGCACGTGGGAACTGATAGTAACCTGATCACACTGCGTAGTTATACACTACAAAAACTACTCACTCGGAACGACCGAACTAGATGCTTAATTCTTACATCTTAAAATATTATTGAACTATCCACGTATTCACGTGTCCTGTTCTACAAATAAACATTGAATATGGAACTACATTTTGTTGTGTTATTGTTGTTGACGGTTGCTAAGATCTCTCACGATAGTGTCACATTTCCCCGCGAAAAAACACTGTTCTCGCCACTGCGTTGCACCCGTGTATAAGCAGGAACAAACCCTGTTTATTTGTTTTATTCGTTGTTATATCGATCCACTGAAAGGATTCGTCAATGTAAATATAAGGAATGATATTTATTTTTTCAACATTTATGAGGTCATAACAACAATGGGTTTTTGGACATATTTTACATGAATCGCTAACGCGATTCATTCAATATGTCCATAAACCCATTGTTGTTATGACCTCATAAATGTTGAAAAAATAAGAATCATTCCTTAATAAAGCCATTATAATAAATTAGTCCTATTATCATAAACACAGTTTCTAAAGTGGGAACTGTATAAACTTATAATGTATGTTTCTTCTATGAAATGATGCTGATGTATTTAAGGTATAATACTATGTTTTATTGTAGGTTTAGTACGAACTAACTTTTAGTCAAATTTTAAAAATTGAATTGGTGACCTCGCAGAGTATATATTGCTATTTTCCCACAAAAGCATATCAGTTACAACTATGTCTATGTCTGATTCATGACAATATTTTTTTTTCTCTCTCCAGAATGCTCCATTTTTTCTTGGCAAATCCAGACCTACCACCAGGATGCAGTGTCGTGTCGGATGCAGTGTCATGTAAGACACAGAAGAGCTTTTTCTTCTGGGATTTCTAAACATTTGAATGGAGAAAAGCAGACATTGTTGTTTATGTGACGATGAAAATACCATATTGTTGGACATGAATTAAAAAAGAGCATTGATCACTGACATGCATACCTTGGCTAGTGATTGATTATTGTTGTGATTTTTCTGATTTGGACATAAGTCAGAACAAAGGAAAGACACATATTATGGTTCAGAACTTCAGATACACTTATGGTATAGTGAAGTGTCTGTCATAAGTCTGTCTGTCAACTTTTTCTTTAAATGACTTTAAAAGAAATGAAAAGCACAGGGCCCTGATATTTGGTCAGCAAGTACCTGGGATAAATGCTTTAACGTTTCTTCATGTAGATTACCTTGACCTTTTTTCAAGGTCACAGGTGTCAAAAGCATGCATCAGTTTCTTCAAAACTGGTCTTGCGTCATGATATTTCCTGATGATTATATCTTATTCAGTATTTTTTTGTGTTGCTTTGTTTAAAAATAAAGGTATTTGCAATTGTTCCACCAAATATATGTACATGTATATAGATATATGTGATGACAGCATACTTGTTGATAACTTTGTCATAGTGTTTGGTTTGTTAACTTTTATGCTTATTGATAATTTTTAGGAAATCAAATCATTGACTGATGTAAATATGTATGTTGTTATTTATCTTCATCTTTGTATGTTTGCCTCACAACAGAGACGTATACGTCTCTGCTCACAAGTAACGTTTATTATTCCCAGCCCCTGCTCAACGAAGTTTGCAGAGAATTTATTAATGGATTCGGTCTCGCCATCCATTCCATTAAGACAAAGTGTTGGGTCCATTTCTGGGTTAATCTAGGTAATACATGCATATACTGATGGCATCAAACACGTAGCTATAGGGATGCTCTAATTAATGTGTATAGATGCTGAATTTGACATATATTTCAGACTTCCGTATGCTTTGTACATCAGTGTGCATTGTACATCAGTGTGCATTGAGACAAGTTGTTCAAGTCCATATCCCATTAATAACACCTATTACATGGGTAATACTTAAATTAATGATGCAGATAGGCTTGCTCTACTGAATGCATGCATGTATGATGAGGATGCTTAATCTGACCTTTCATTAAACACTTCATTGCCTTCCTCATATTTTAAATATAAATAAACTTTAACATTAAAAGGGAATTGCATATCTGGGTAATTATAAATGCTGCATCGACATTAACTTTAAAAAATGAACAGTGTTGCAAACTAGATATATTTGTCATTACATTAGAGCAATTAAAAATTATTTATTTGATTTGAATTAATCTCTTACAAATATATACCTCAAACCATTCACCATTGTATAATTTACTAAACTTTGACATGGACATCTACATGTACTACGGACTTGTCTATGAAGCAGTATATATTGATGAAAGCACGTTTTGGTTAGGTTTGAAAGTATGTATGATTTTTGTTTCAATTACACATTCTTATTAAAGGGGCTGGTCGGGGAAAAATTAAAAATTAAATAGGTCTAAATGCGTTGTCTGGCCTTCCAAAAGTTATACCACGGCAATATGATGGTCGAGTTCTGCTTGCAGTGTCCAGTTTTGACCACTGAAATGTCGGGGAAGCCCCGCGTAAATTTAGCGCAGATCTATTAATATATGTCACGTGGTTGTTTCGAAAGTGAGGCAGTGAAGATAACAACAATAGCACGCCGTCATGTGCCATGTCGGACTCAACTAGCAGCTAAGACAGTAATACTATACGTAAATAATTGTTTTCAACGGTCATGTATGATGCAAGTGTGGTATTCCTACCTATATGTTGTTGCTATATATAACGGTATTGATACCTTGTGCCTGTCATGACTTTTGCATTGATCTTTTTCTTTCGCCGCGATGTTGTTGATGACGCGCGTGCGGTAAAATTACATCACTGATCTGGGTCAATGAAAGTTTTAGACTGTCAGGTGACGATTTAGGATTTCTTTAATATAATTTTAATTTTTACTCTTAGGGAGTGATTTTCAGTAAAATTTAAATCGGTATATTTCATAAGAAGGTATTTTAAACATGTGTATGCCATTTTAGCAAATAAGAATTTTTTCCCCCGACCAGCCCTTAAAAACCTCCTGTTTCATTGGTATGGACAAAACACATAATGGTTTACTCAGATTGACTCTGAAAATAACGTGTTAGGTTCATATTCTTCTCTTATCTGTGACCTATGGTAATCTTGCCAAAAAAGCCACTTCAAACTCTTCTCCAAACTTCAGTTAAAATGTATATACAAGAATAAGACATGCACAGTACAGGTGATAAAGAATGGTAATTGGGGCGGTGGTTGGGTCAAATTGTCATAGGTTTTTTTAAACTACATAGATGTCTGAATACGTTATCTTATGATACATCTCTTTTTACTTGTTTTCTTCTTATTTTTTTAATGTGTGCATTGGAGGGGGGAAGACAAGCTCTACGCTCTGTCAAGATTATAGACTCTCTTTAGTTTATGTGATCATTTTCTGGACTTGAGCATCAATATTGACGCCGTCATAAATATGTTCTTGAACATATATTTAATGTATGCAGTAATAAATATTATAACCTTTAAAATACAATAGTATACTCGTAAGTAAACAAATAACGATATTGCGTCAGTACGGTGATCCGGATGCGGTTGAGGAGCGGTCCGTATATATTTAAGACGATCGCAACGCCGATTGTCGTCATAATGAGGAAACCCTTCGTATTTCATGTACTGGATTACTAGTTGACTAGCTAGCTATTTCTGAATAAAAAGTTAGCTTCGAATGTCTGTTTTAACAAAATTGACGATCTATATACATCACGTAAGTCTGGAATGGATTGAATACTACAAGCTAACACGAAATCACGATCGCTAAAACTAGCATAGCATGGAATGAAAAGTAGCATAGCATGCAATGAACACGCAGTGGATTTGTAAACGAATGCAAAAACACAAATGTCCATAGAATGAAAAAAGACACTTATCAACTAGGGAAATAACACATATGTACATAGAATTAGATTCCAAACAAGAAGTAACTAATTTTATAAAAAACAATTTTGGCAGTGATCCCCTCCCGTTGATACCTGTTCTTTGAAGATGACAGAGGAGCGACGCCTGACTTCAAAGCCAGTTTGTTTTACCGTTACGCGACCGCAATATTCTTTTGATGCACATCAAAGGATTAAACTAATCTTTTCGTCTCGCCCACAGAGTCACGTACACCGAGCCTTTGATTTTGCTATGACATATTCCAGGGATGCAAAGAGCGAAAGTAAGCGTTAACCTTGGATATCGAGGATGATCCCTAATTGACAGCTATATAATGTGTTATTGCTTTTCTATAGAAATCGACTGCTTTGTTGCAAGTTTTGCGGTTGAACCTGGGACTTCCACATTAGATGCAATTGTAAACGCCCTTTCAAGAAGCAGAGCCTGCCTTTTTCTTGTCACTCCCACAGCTATGGAAAGTTCATGGTTTGCTTTTGAAACAATCCTCACATTGGAGCGATCTCAACAGCGCGGTAAACTCAACTGTGTGATCTTACTGCATGGCGTGAGGGAAGACCAGGTAACCCAATGATATTCACATCAATACATTATCTATTATAAACAATCTAATTGTTCTTAGACTTGTAATTCCGCTCCTCAACGATCATCTACCTCAATGCAATATAGTAGTGTATTGTATCGTAAAGGATCGCAAAGGAGCGGAATTACAAATAGATATCATAACTAATAACGACAGTATGAACCAATATAGGCAATACATCCGAATTTGTTTTTCTTAAATCGATATATAAGTACAGTAAAAACGTAATAACGACATTGCAGACAAAGGAATTAGTCAAATTTTCAACCCGCCCCTTATATTGTATTTCAAGGCAGAATCACCAACACTTACATACCACAACACATGACAAGCAGTCACTTCGGGGATACATACTTCAATTACATTAAGAGACATTAGCATATTTTATGCGTGATAACTGGGATTTTTTGTGTTTACTTTTTATGTTGTATCATTGTTTCGTAGTGACTGTTTAATTCGTTGTTATATGTTGTGATATGCGTTCACGGTTCTGTATGGTAATAGGGACGGATTGCCATTAACATTTGACACATTCCTTTATAGATACATGAAAGACATAAATATATAAATGAATTTGAAAGAAATTAAATGTAAGTTGGGAAAAATGAAAGATAGCACGAATATACAGAAATCTAGATAAGAGCACCCCAGGCAACTGGATGAAGTAATAAACGTGGAATACAAATATGCGTTTTGTAACCCACTCACTATTTTTGTTTACCATATTTTACATGTGTATGCAGCTTCCACAGTTTGCCCTGTTTCAAATGATTGATAAGTATGAGCTACATCTGGACGAGTTAGGAAACTGGAAATCGGAACAAGTTCAGGAGGTCATACAAACAATCCAAGGTATTTATATTTGTTGATGCTGTTCATGTATTCTTGTAGGATTTAAAATATGTCTTATTATTTTTGTAATTATGCACATTTCTTTACAACTTTTGGAAGCATTTGTATGAAATTATAAACTATATAAGGCTAAAACAAATATCGTGCATGTTTTAGGTGTCACGCCAGAAAAAAGGTACAGTAGGTCGGTAATTTTATTTTTTATCATTTTCGTGAATCAATAAAATGCTATGTACGAAATTGACAATGCATACCAACTGATTGCAATGACAATTAAAATTGGGCCAGGCTCGCTGAACAGGAAGAAGATTATTTAAAAGGGTGACATAGTGAGGTCGGTAGGCAGGGTAAAAATGCAAAGGATTACCTATCACATTCTGGTGTCTGTAGGCAGGGAGGGAATGTTAAGTGTGACTTATCACATTATGGTGTCAGTAGGAAGGGAGAAAATATAAAGGGTGACCCATCACATTATGGTGTCAGTAGGCAGAGAGAGAATGTAAAGAGTAGCCCATCACATTATGGTGTCAGTAGGCAGGGAGGGATTGTAAAGAGTACCCATCATATTATGGTGTCAGTAGACAGGGAGGGATTGTAAAGAGAGACCATCACTTTATGGTGTCAGTAGACAAAGAGGGATTGTAAAGAGTGACCATCACATTATGGTGTCAGTAGGCAGAGAGAGAATGTAAAGAGTGACCATCACATTATGGTGTCAGTAGGCAGAGAGAGAATGTAAAGAGGACCATCACATTATGGTGTCAGTAGGCAGTGAGGGATTGTAAAGGGTGACCCATAACATTATGGTGTCAGTAGGTAGGGAGGGATTGTAAAGAGTAACCATCACATTATGGTGTCATTAGGCAGGGAGGGATTGTAAAGAGTAACCATCACATTATGGTGTCAGTAGGCAGAGAGAAAATGTAAAGAGTGACCATCACATTATGGTGTCAGTAGGCAGAGAGAGAATGTAAAGGGTGACCCATCACATAATGGTGTCAGTAGACAGAGAGAACGTAAAGAGTGACCCCTCACATTATGGTGTCAGTAGGCAGGGAGGGATTGTAAAGAGTGACCATCACATAATGGTGTCAGTAGACAGAGAGGGATTGTAAAGGGTGACCATCACATTATGGTGTCAGTCGGCAGGGAGGGATTGTAAAGAGTAACCATCACATAATGGTGTCAGTAGACAGTGAGGAATTGTAAAGAGTGACCCATCACATTATGGTGTAAGTAGGCAGGGAGGGATTGTAAAGAGTAACCATCACATTATGGTGTCAGTAGGCAGTGAGGGATTGTAAAGGGTGACCCATAACCTTATGGTGTCAGTAGGCAGAGAGGGGTTGTAAAGAGTGACCCATCAGATTATGGTGTCAGTAGACAGAGAGAGAACGTAAAGAGTGACCATCACATTATGGTGTCAGTAGACAGAGAGGGATTGTAAAGAGTGACCATCACATTATGGTGTCAGTAGACAGAGA